CAGATGTATAATAATATTATGTAATAATACAAAATTACACCAACATCTTTTTAGCAGCACATTCATAGGAACAAATTGCTTGCCAATATTTTGAGTAAGATGAATAATGTGATGATGTTGATGAGGATGAGTTAGTGGTCTATGTAGATATGAATTACTAAAACCAGCGACTGGTATTTAAAAATGAAGTAGACATAATACACGAGAACCAACACTCACCATAACCATACCACCTGATGAGGTTGAGCTAACAGGTACGGTGATCACATTTGATGAGTTAGTGGCAGTAGTAGTAGTAGTTGTTGCAGCAGTGGGTGTTGCAGCAGTCACAGATTGTGGTATCTGCACAGTATTCCCTGCTAGAAACAAAGACACAGCAGAATCTGTTAATAATCTAATTAATATAATAATGTGCCTTGTACTGACAACATTAAATGTAAGAAAAAAATCATTGTCAAGAAAAGCTAAAAAACACTAATGACTAATGATGTTAAAATATTCCTTCATTGATGAAATACTAAATAAAAAATTTATAATATAATTAGCAAAGTTATATAAATTTCTGTTAACTAGCTACCAATATTTTGCCTGAAATCAAAAAGTTTATTTTATATGCAAATGAGCCAAATATTTTTATTTCTATACAAATAAGATATGTTTCAACCCCCAATTTGTTTACTAACTTCTAAGTAGTGAATGAAAAGTACTTAGTTGCATTAAGGAAATATATTAAGAAAACTAAGATTATTAAGTTATTTTTCAAATCTGTTAAACCATGATTATGTTCTATCTGCTCATTAGAAACAATTAATACAAAATTAAAACTCTTAAATAAAAGCACTGCCTGCCCAGTATTTTTTTTTTTAGTCCGTAACTGACCCCACATTTTTTTTTGGTCCAATTTACTACCGGTAACTAACCCAGGAATACATGAATTTATAAACACATAACTAAATATAAATAGAGTTCACTCAATTGCTTAACGTTTTCTCTGGTTCAAACCAAGACTAATCAGCTTAAAATCCAAATGTAATAATATGGCGATCAGATACTATCAACTTGATGAATTTCTTTTTTAATTTATAGTCCGTTAGTTTCACAGACATGTTCTTATTCAGATCAAGTTTGTTTTCTGAAAATCTTCTTCATTAAAGTAGAGTTTATAATAAAAAAAGTACCTTGTATTTGCTGCACTTGTTGAAGTATCTGTGTCTGTGAATTATCAGTTGCTTGTACTGGTTGATATAACACTGTTTGTCCATCGGCAGTAATGAACTGCTGATACTGTGCGAGTTGATTGCCTTGTTGTGCTGGCTGTTGCTGTTGAATGATGATCTGTTGAGGCTGTCCTGTTTGGCTTTGTACTTGTTGTATTTGCTGCCCGGCCTGAACTTGAATTTGCTGAGGTTGTATGACCTGAACCTGGAAAAAAAATTAAAGTGATTCAGCACCTAACTACTATAGCAACTACCGTTATACAGTACAGTCCTAGCTGAACCTAACAATCGTCTGTATTATAGCTTTAGGCTGGCTTTCAAAACCGACACATATCTGTATTATCAGAGGTACATTACTTGGGGTTTGTAACTACGGTGACATGATACCAAGATCCCGTTTCAATTTCACTCTCGCATAAGCGTTCCAACTCAGAAAAATGCGAATGTGCATGCCCGAGGTAACTGGGATCCTGGGATGTCCAGGTGGATCAAAATAGCTGATCACGATATGACGGATTTCGAGAACTATATTTTCTGTAGATTTTCAATGTATTACATTTTTTCACTATGATAGTGACAAGAAATTTTTTATTGTAAACCTTGAACATTGTATGTCATGTCAGAAGGTCGTAGCATCAGTCTCGCTATCTACGAGATGAGATTTGAATGGGATCTTGGCATGATGACACCATACAGTACTATTCGCGTTGCAAACCCCAAGTAATGTACCTCTGATATTATACATAGAAATCTGCCTAAATATGTTTCATTTTAATAACATGTGACTATTACAATAAATAAGTTATTATGAAAAGGCAAAACCAGCTGATATGAAGCTTAGAAGCTGAGTTATGCTTGGACTGTACTGCACAATAAATAAAGGAAACAAACTAAGAATACTAAACAACGTAATGTGAAAACTTTTGAAATTGAGTAAAATTAAAAAAGTCAAATAATACATGTTTAAACTATTAGTCTGATATAGCTCTGATGTTTGAGATGCATAACGTAAAAGAACATCAAATTCTGGCTAGCAACTATTGAAGTTTTCAACACTAACCATTTACCCTGATAGAGGAAAAAAGTTTTCACCTAAATGTGATCCCTTGACATTATCACAAAATGAACAAATCTGACAGAGGTCCACTCAAGATACTGTACTTACATACAAAATACGAAAGCAATGGCTAGATGTCTTCAATACTAGTAAGAAGTCAAAGATATTTTTTTGTTACCAAAAACGACACAGTTATTCAAAAACATACACAGGTATTCACTCAAATTAGATTACTGAACATATTGAACAAATCTAAAATAGAACTACCCAAGAGACATTTGTAGAGAGAATGAATCCATAATACTGGTAAGAAGAAATGAGAATATCTGAAAATCCCTTACAATCTTGTAAGTGAGGGAGAAGAAATAACTTACACATATTTGTTTACAAGTTAATCAGATGCCAAGAAGAGCCTACAACTTGTAATTTGTCTATCAACCCCGATGTACAAATGGAATGTTCCTATTCTGATACTAACTAACCTGCTGTACCTGTGATCCGGATACTGGTATTTGAATGGCTGTCTGTCCAAGCTGTAACTGTTGCAGCTGATGCTGCGGTAACTGCAACATAATTTGCTGCCCTCCTGAAGCTGTCTGTAGGATCTGACCACCGCTCACTTGAAAAACTTGAGCAGCCTTTAAATAATTTTACATAAACAATTTTAAAATTGTTGTATTTATAAGAATGCACTACAAGGTGTAAGTATACCATAAACAATAAATGAGATGGCACAGTCTACTAGTTAAAATCTGAATCTGGCACATACACATGTAGTGAAAAAAATTTTCTTTTGGATATTTTTCTCGAGTGTGGTTCTCAATTAAGCGCCCACCCTCTAAAAAACATGATTTTTTGATCTGAGTACACTTGGTGCTAATTCAGACGAGTATGGTACATATCAGTTCAGATAGCTTTTTTGTACTGTAATGCCAATATTACCCACTTTTAAGGTTGATATTATCCTCTTGTAATGTAAATATTATCCCCTTGCAATGCAGATTTTATCTCCCTTGTAATATAGATTCCCACAAATGTAGATATTAACCCTATGCGAGGTAGATAATATCCATTACAATGTAGATATTATCCTTTTGCGAAGTAGATAATAACCCTTGCAATGTGGATAATAACCCTTGCAATGTTGATAATAACCCTTGCAATGTAGATAATAACCCTTGCAATGTAGATAATAACCCTTGCAATGTAGATAATAACCCTTGCAATGCAGATAATAACCCTTGCAATGCCGATAATAACTCTTGCAATGCCGATAATAACCCTTGCAATGTAGATAATAACCCTTGCAATGCGGATAATAACCCTTGCAATGTAGATAATTACACTTGCAATGTAGATAATAACCCTTGCAATGCGGATAATAACCCTTGCAATGTAGATAATAACCCTTGCAATGCGGATAATAACCCTTGCAATGTAGTTAATAACCCTTGCAATGCGGATAATAACCCTTGCAATGTAGATAATAACCCTTGCAATGCGGATAATAACCCTTGCAATGTAGATAATTACACTTGCAATGTAGATAATAACCCTTGCAATGCAAATAATACCCGTTAAAATGTAGATATTATCCCTTTGTAATAAATACATATTCCAATGCAATGTGGAAACATGGAAAGCATATGCAAAAGAGAATTAATACCTGTTGTACGTGTCCAGCCTGTGTAACCTGGACATTTCCTTGTTGTTGGGCTGCTTGTATTGTCTGTATAGCTATCTGGTCAGCATTGATGGTTTGGGCCACTGGACTCGACTCCATGCTTTAATGATAGCCTATTTAAATAAAAATGAAATATGACAATAAATCCCATATTGTGGGTGTTCATATGGTTTTATTTTGTGTCTCATACCATGGCAATCACATGGTATTATGTAATGTTAGGTTAGGTTAAAAAAAAAAATTTCTTGTTTTTTATTACTGTATTTTTTCTAGAAACATCTTTGTAATTTAAATAAATTATTAATAGAATAAATACATTATTGTATCTTGAGCATCCTTTTTTTAAATACAAAAACAATTTTTTCTGGTTTCTGCCAAACAAACAAAACAAACAGCAAAATAGAAAAATAAGCATTTATTGTCCTACAAAAGCTTTGTAAATATAAGACAATAGATTTGTATTATTTTAGTTCTAAATATATTTCCAATATATTAATGCATGCAAATATTTAAGTTGTGCATCTATTAATATCAGATTTAACTCTATTTTTCAATCTTTTGTAGATTTTTTAGTACCATCATCTGCTGCAGTTTTTTAGCTTTCATAGGGTGGAAGAATTTTATTTTTCAAACATGAGCCATGACACATTTCAGCCACAAGTTGACATACAATGTAGGAAAGGAGGGGTGAAAACTTTTGATGAAAATATTCAATATTACAAATATAAAATTTCCATCCTGTTTAAAAAATAAAAACAAAAATATTCTTGCATTATTAGTGTCATCACAGCAGATACAATGAGTTACATGCACAACATATTTTTACGGACATTACAGTGATGTATGTTTTAAGTGATCAATTTTCATGACGAAGAATATATAAGAATTTGAATTTTAATTAAAATACAACATCTTTCAATTTTATGTAAAATTACAATAAGGTTTGTGTTAGAAGATATTTACATGTAGCCAGGAATCCAGCCGAGCCCTTCTGAGTGCACTCAAGAATGGTTTGGTAAATCGCTACAAAAATAGAGAGCACAGGATTCTGTGTCATCATTGATTGGCTGTCTCCATGACTTCAGTACATTACCATGGGAACCTGCATATACAGACTGACCCGTACTTAAGGCCCACCCACATCAATTCACTACTACGAAAATAGACTGTATCTAGTCTAATACACAAAAATGTACTGAGACTGTGAAATATCATTGGTTACTGAACAAAACAATTGTACGTAAAATAAAAAGAAATACCTAGAGAAATTTAAATTGTCAAGTAATTATAGAAATGTTGAGATACTTCTCTGCACACTGATAATAAATCATATACATGGCTGTTTTGAGCCTTACAAATGGAAATACATATAGTGAAATTTATATTATTTCTGGGTATCTACAATTCTCAACTCATAAACAATTTATTGCAAATTGCAGCTGAAATGTTCAATGAGGGGAGGCAAGGGGGGTAGCTGGTACGGTTTTACGGGAAATAAAAAGGGCTTTTCACAATTTACGAAGAAAAAAAAGACGTTTTTACAGTTTACAGTGTTAACAAATGGAACATTGAATGGTCCGAAGAGCTCTCCGACTCAAATTCTCCGCCATTGCTGCGCCATGTGAAGAGACGCATGCACATATTACCCTTGTAGTGCTCTTCATTTGGTTAGAGGGCCTTTTACGTCTTGACATTCAATTTTGTAGTGAATTGTGGTCATCTAGTCGTTTTACAGTTTCTAAAATGTTAATTTCCCTGGATTATTCTTTACGATTTTTTATTTGGATGTGAATTTTTGTACGTAGAGAAAAATGACACATTTTTACAGTGTACGAAAAAAAGATTTGATTGATTACGTTGTACGTCTAGCCTGTGATTACAGAATTACGGAATTTATTTTTTCTATTTACATTGTACAAACAAAAAAATATTGCAATTACGTTGAACAAAAATAACCCTTGCCCCCCCTCTTCAATACTTTACCTAAACATTATTCATAGTTTCGATTTTTTTGAGGGAAAGTTAACATTTTATAAATCTTCCAACAATATCTCACATGCTTCTTTTTAATACTAATTAACTAAAATTTGAATTTAAATAGACCAAAACTTAATTGTTAGTGCCATTCAGATAAATCATTGTCATTTATTTTTCAGGAAACTTTAAAAAGTTGATATTAATTTAATTGGCATATGTTAATTTTTTTACTTCGGTTAAAAAAGTAAAGGTGTCATATATATTCATATGGAGCTCAGTTTCAGCTAAGTATCAATATTTCAAAATTAAAAAAAGTACAAATTAAAATAAAGAAAAAAATAAAAACATATATATCATAATCAAAACAAAGAATATTAAAGACTATAATATTATACAAAAGTGGCTGCATGATAACTATTTCTCGCGGTCAACAGTATAATGAAATGCGTATATGAACACATCAGTACCACGATATACAGTGAAGATGTAAGTGATGTCTTGTCATGTCTTAGCACAGGCGCGTTGCTGCTGTATCATCGTCAAAAATAGGTTTAAATATTAGCAAAATGTCGAGTGATTATAGCATCGCATTTGAAACATTTTCGATACCATATATCTAAATAGTATCACAGTGTCCCAACATATAACGTGGACGCGCCGATCATAGATAAAAACCCAGGAATGTAGAGAAAAAAAACTTGACGAATTTTGCGAAATGGCAGACAAAGCCAAGCTTAGGGTGCCTCGGCTTTGTGAGTCGACATCGCATAGCACATTTTTGCACTTAAATCGCCAACCCCGATTTGTTTTCCACTCTGAGTGGACTGAATCTCCCGCTTTCGAGCTGACTGGACAATATTTCGACCAAGAGAAGCAAAATTAGTGACTTACAGGTAAAAGAAGATGTTCTGATTGGCTACAAAATAAGGATACACTGGCCCAACGAATAGGAAAACGACAACCCAAGCTGTCCTATACCAGCAAGGGATGAATTACCATTCAGAATGCACGGATTGTGTCATATGACACCCACGTGACCAACGTTTTGTCATTATAATCTTATTAACATCTCATTTACATGCTTAATTAGGCAAATCGGGATGCATTGTGGGAACTTGTTTACAGCGAGGCATGTTCTCGTGGGTAAGTTGAGGTCATGATTGGTTTCACATGCGACTCCATTTTTTTTTCTGATCAGCGAAATATTCCAGATATCACAGTTTTCCATAGTAAACTATTAACTATTGAAATAGTTCGTCATGCATAGTATTTAAGATTGAATTAAACACATCATAGTTTCCTCACGGGTAATACGCAAAACAGATCGGATGTTTGATTAAGCGTGCTTGGCGAAGTGTCAACCTATAGACATTATGGAGCTGTTGTCAATAGCAGCAGCAGAACGAACCGGCTGACCTTCAAGTTCTAGGCCTCTGGCTCCTGCGTCTCGGGTCAGAATTGTACGTTAACGAATGTGTTTGCACACCAGTTATTTGCTCGAAATAATATTAATCAGTGACACACATTTCTTTAATACATGTATACGTTAAGTGTTTATCTTTAAATAAATCAGATAAAATTATAATAAGAATTTGCAGATCTGAATTAAACTTTTATATTAAAATGTGCTTTGTTTTGTTTTTGTTTCTGTTTTTTTTTACAGAATTTTACAAAATAACGCAAGAAAACTGAGTTTTCAGAATAAAAAAAATAATCACTGTTTGAATATTAAAAATATTTTCAAAATAGTATGAACTGGGAAAATGATAATTAACTATCCGAACACGCATTTGGGTTACATTGTCCAGAATCTACTTTTCACAGCAATTTAAAAGAAAATGTTTTGTCCTGAATAAAGGAAATACTCCAAAAATGATGTGAAAGATTTTGTCATGAAATGTAACTGATCCAGGCTACGCCCAGTAAATGTGAAAACAGTTCATCTGATATCTGGCAGTTTTTGAACATCAATATTCACTAATTATTCAAAATCAATAGATAACATGAATATACTACAGATTAAAATTTCTCTTACTTGTTGATATTGAACTTGTACCGTACTGGACTCGTTCACGCACAAATCCCACTTGTCAACTGTTGCAGAGTGTACTACTGTGGAATACTTTATTTTCGCTGGAATAAATTTTCGCTGAAAAGGCTTTTTGGGTGTTTTTCTTGGAATTTATTTTCACTGATTTTTGATGAGTTTAATGTGAAATATAGGAAAAAAAGTATATTCACTGGATTTTATTTTCACGGAATCATCCCTTCAGCGAAACTAGCGAAAATAAAGTATTCTACAGTATACTGTAAATTGCTTTAATTTAATTGTTAAAGACGAATTTTCGAAAGTGAAAATTGTGAAGTTTTGTAGCAAAGAAAATTTCTATGGAGTCGTATATAGTTTAAGTGACTTTTGTTAATTTTTTCCTTCACGACTGCAGGTATTCATGGAATTGCGAAAATTTCTCATATTGAAATTTAAATGGTTTACACTGTATATTACTATCAAACTGTAATATGGTGAATATCAATTGGTAATTCAACCTTGGACCCCCCCCCCCCCCCGATTAGGTGTATTTTAAAATACTTCTATTTTATACAGGGGGCTAATAGCTATGGTCAGTTAGGATTGGGTCATCAGGATGACAAAAGTAAACCAGAGAAAATCCTTAAGATACCAGATGGAAAAATTGTTGATGTAACAGGTGGTGGTGGCCATACGCTGCTTCTCACAGGTTTGTCCTATCAATTAATTAAATATGAATAATGTCATAGTATTTTTTATTCATAATAGATCAGCTGTATCTATTATTTTGTTGTGGAATAATGCTAAAACAAGCTAGATTGCAACAGCATGTATTTAATATAGGCCCCATATTATGCATTACAATATGGCTCCTGTACCTTGCATTGGAATATAGGTCCTATACTACACATTGCAATGTGGGTCCCATAATATGCATTGCAATATGGGTTTCAGATTTAAATATAGGTCCTATACTACACATTGAAATGTGGGTCCCTTAATATGCATTGCAATATGGGTTCCAGATTTAAATATGGGTCATATACTACACATTGCAATGTGGGTCCCATAATATGCATTGCAATATGTGTTCCAGATTTAAATATAGGTCCTATACTACACATTGAAATGTGGGTCCCTTAATATGCATTGCAATATGGGTTTCAGATTTAAATATGGGTCCTATACTACACATTGCAATGTGGGTCCCATAATATGCATTGCAATATGGGTTCCAGATTTAAATATGGGTCATATACTACACATTGCAATGTGGGTCCCATAATATGCATTGCAATATGTGTTCCAGACTATGCATTGCAATATGTCATTCATACTATGCATTGCAATATGTGTCCCATACTATGCATTGCAATATGTGTTCCATACTATGCAT